GCACGTGGCCGTCAAGGGCTGGAAAGACAATCGGCAGTGGAGAAAAAAAGTTTCGAGTGCAACCTGTATTGTACACCATTCAACATCATTTTTGGGAAATCGAATGATGCACATCTCAGATTTCAAAGTTCGTCTGGACAAGCAAAAAAACTGATCATTTCACAAGGACATGACGAGCAGCGATGTTTGGGGCCACACCACGGAAGGAACGCTCATCTGCGACCAAATACTTTACCTGATTCCTACAGACAAGTAATCATAGTTCACGTCGGTAAAGAGAATTCCTCGCTTCTCAGGTTTTCACAAGATTCCTCCTTTGAGAGTGGGGAATGTCACATAACAGGCCTACGATTACTGCTGGAAACTGATCGAAGATTCTCATTGGAATGGAAGAATGTGATGATGAGCGCAGGGACAACACTTTTAGCCAATTAGTACTCTAGAGCGAAGTAAAGATTGTGGAGTACACAAAAAAAACATTCATTCATTCTCACAATACGGTGGATGATTGTGTAAGTTGCGTATCCTGAATCAAGTGTTAAGACCGATTCTACTGTGGAATTGGTAGACTGCAAAAGAGGGGTTTTATACGCATCACACACAAAGTACAGGGGGGACGAATAAAAAAAAAACACATTTTGTCTCCACTTTCAGATGGATTTAAGCACACTTTGCTCAATTGAGACCGAGTGTTCCCAACTTAATATTGAAGAGCACATTTCATTCTATAAGAAAATCTTCATGTTGGCCACCCACGTGGACGGCAACAGAAGAATTTGCCCTGGAAACATGGTGCACTGGTCGAGCTCAATGGGGTCTTCGAAGGATCGTGTACCATAACGACCCTTACTGGAAAGCTAGTTCCGAGGGGATTTGCACAGTGGTAGCTAATGCCTCTAGAAAACTATCCAACATTAAATCGATTCACGAAATTGCGTAAGAGCTTCAGGCTGAAGCTCTTACGGTAGACCTCCTTGAGCCTGACGACGGTGACAGATGACGTCATATTCTGAAGACGGTGAGGGCAGTGAAGGAGAGCCTGCGTACACTATAGAGGACACTTAGGGAATACTCTGCTGAGGAACTCCCGTCAACGACGGCAATCTCTGCGAAGAAAAAAGGGCCGAAGTCCGACATAGGCAAAATGTCTTTTTTTTGCCCCCCCCCCCCCCCCCTGTACAAAGGGAATTCCTCTAATTCGAAAACTCAAAAACCCGCTGAGTGTAGAAAACACACCACAAGTTCTGACGGCCAACAAGACAGGAAAAAAAGCACATTCCCTTCCTTTCTTGGCCGCCGTCACTATGTGGTGTGTGGTCATTCCGCAAGGTACTGCTGTGGCAGCTGGAAGGCAGGGGGATGTGGAAAGGTTTCATTCTGAGATAATGTCATTACTGTGACAAGGCCAACACTACCGCACAAGACATCCATTTGTGAATACCCATCCCTTCCACTAGTGCTTGACCTCATAAGTGGAATCGGGCACAGTGACGGCAGGCTTACGCAATGAAGAATGGAATCCCGGTGGTTGCTGGAGGGCAATATTGGGTAAGAAATATCGTAATATATGAGACATAAGCACTCCGCCTCCCTGTACTTAGCTCACCCATCCTAGAGTTCTTCCCCCCTCAAAGGCTTAAGCCTAGGGCTCTCACCTTCATTTTTGGGATTTGGAGCTGAGCCGGGCGCCATTCTTTGCTCTTCGCCATTCGTGGCAGGACCATACAAGAAAGTTCAAGTAACCCGTAAACTGTGTATGCACTTTAAGGATAAGAGCCTTGTCAAGGCAAAGTAGATGATGAACGTAGTCCAGCCATAACCACTGATATTGGTTTCATCCCGCTAGCGCCTGGTTGTCTGTTGACACGCGCTGAGCAAGAATTCTTCGTGACACATGTGGGTATATGAGAGCCTCAAACCAGCTTTTATTTTCGTGTAAAGATGTTCATCATTTCTGGCACCTCACGCTTTGTTAGCGCCTCTGACTTGAAGTGGCACCTAATTTTCGCGAAAGCATGCTCTGCCAAATGTATACACGCGAGTATCGCTTCATGCTCCCATAACATTTGCATGATTGATTCCATTCCATGTTTCGTTCGGATAGGATGACTATGATACCTTAAAAAGCGTCTTGTCCACTGCCTAAAGACTGCATTTGTGCCCCACTTCGACTGAAATAGTTGGAAAATCCATGACACTGCATTCGGCAACGTCCCAATCACACTCGACAGCAGCGTTTGGCGTTTGGAGTTTAAACATAAGTTACGATCAAGCACTCGGAACTTCTAGTTACTCATAGTTGAAGAACATAGAACAAAAAAGTGCCTCTCAACGAAGGGACTTTCTTTAGACACCACTAAGGATTGCATCCCAAACGAGAGCAGATCGTCGAAGAGCTCAACTTAGCAGGTTTTGAAAGGGAGACCGCGCGGACATTCATACACAACCAATTAAGTTTGAAGCAGCACTAGCCCAGAAATAATGGAAAGCGGCTACGTTCACCTCTCATCGAAAGGATGTGCTTAAGGGCTGCATGCAAGGGCAATAGGGCTGAAAATTCATCCCTGCAGAAAAAGGAGGTTGAATACCGTTTCCCGAAACTTGAGTCACGTAAACTTATACATACCTTGAATTGATCAACACGAGATGGCCGCGCACACTTACTAACGAGATGCTCTGGACCTTGTTTTTGCAGCAGTCCAACAATGACTACCTAAATTTAAACTTCAAAATCCGGTACTTCACATAAAAAAAACGAATTTGAGGCTTACCGTCATATTATCACATCCTACACCTCCCATTTGTGAATCGGGTGCGAGACATCGCGTGAGCAATTCTTCGCAAATCTAAAAAATACATATTATAGTAAACACGATATGCGATTTAAAGGTGATGCTATGAGGAATCGAATACAAAGCATAAGCACTTTTACTAAAAGAACGCAAAAGTTTCGCCACCCCCATTTGGTCTCCAAATATGTGCCCCTTTCCTCCTCACACTCTACGGGAGCCTTATTTATCATGTAACATTGTACATTGATTAGCTCCAAAAAAGTAGAATCATGCAGCAGACAGGAAACCGGCACTTAAAGCTCTTAACCAGAGAGGAATACTTTGTTACTAAAAGTTTTACTTTATTAATTGTATTTTATTTTATTTAGTCGTGCATACACTTGACGTGGCTAGAAAGAATAAGCAAGAGAAAAACCTTTCTCTTCTAGTTCCCTTTGATCCAAGTTTCTCAAAACACATCTTGCCTCTGGTAGCCAAGCACCAATTTTTAATCAAACCAATTCAACACGATGACGACTGTAAGGCAATCTTAAGGCAAGTTTCAACTGATTTCATGTATACACCTCTAAATTGTTTTTGGCGCGATTGCTGCACCGAAAAAAAATCTTGCTAGAGGCACGCGTCTGTACTTACTTCTACTGGGTGCGGGACTTTTGGCTCGTCCGGCCTGCACGCGGCGAGTTGCGCGGCGGCACGCGCGGCGATCTGGACGGGACAAGGCTTCGCGGGTTCTTCGGGTAGAATTCAACACGTCAATGCGTGTGCAGATTGCGGATAAACTCCGCATGGTTCTGCTGTTTGAAAATCTTTCCGCTCGGGGTTGGAAGCAGCAGTATCGGTGAGGAGAATCAGCGCAAGGAGTTGAGTGAGGACCATTCATGTAAATGTCACTACTACCATCAAAGCAAATAAGAGTCACTAAAATTGGGAGTTTTTGTTGAGGTATTTAATGTCAACTATATATGTTTTGCTGATCGAGGCGCTCACGTCCAAAGGAGAAACATTCGAAACAAAACAACAAAACAGGGTCGATGGTAGGTCACTAGGACTAAGCCCAGCACAGGAGAGGAACGCCAGGGAGAACAAAAACCCCCAGAATCCCTTCTCCTCCAGTCTCGTCCCAAACACCCCAGAATCCCTTCTCCTCCCTAAGTCTCGTCCCAAACACAGTGATTGGCTCACTCACTTCCCCCTAATGGAACGTCCCCCCCCCAAAGACATGAGCGCCCTGATTGCCGTAACAGCACTACGCTAGTTCCTTCTCATCTCTTCCTACTGTTACAACCACCGCTGTCCTCAAAATTCCAGCCGTTCAGATGTATTTCGAATTGCAGAACCTTGCGGATTTTATCCGCAATCTTCACACGTTGACGTGTTGAATTCCCGCGATGCGTCGGGATCGCCGCGCCGCTCGCCGCGCAATTTGCCGCGTGCTAACCCGGACGAGCCAAAAGTCCGTCGCCCAGTTCTACTAACTTTTTTATATTCATGCTCATTAATGGAATCCAGAGGAAACGGAGAATGAACCAAACTAAAGAATTTTTAGAAATTGAGAATCTCCGCTTGAGTGAAGAATATTCAAACATTCGAGCAACCACGCCGTTTACGGTCCGTTGTGATGTGATTATGGATTAATTCCAAAAAAATAATAGAAAAGAGGCAGAGCAACGTGTGAAATATAATAAGCATGTAAGATATTTGGCGTGAAACAGGCTGTGAAGCTGCACGCTCATACGCATGCGACCTTAGTCCAGCACGGGCTTCAAAGTGGCAGCGTATGAGCACTATGGCCGCTGTCGTCAACGTGTTGGAATCTATTTCTAGAAACGTCGCCTGAGCTCAGTTTTATAGCTCATTGACCACTGTGCATATGAGCTACAATGGTTTAGCCGATGTCAAAAAAAACGAGAGACACGCACATGTTTTGCATATCCACCAGAGCGCATCGGACTAATATGTTGTCTGTTGCAGGCAAATCAAAGCAATTTCTCCATGGTCAATTACTCAAGCATCCAAATCTTGAGTCGTCTTGCTCTTTAATTTGTTTCATTCAATATTCAGCACTGAATGTAGCACTCACTGTTTGTGGTCCCTATTTTCAGCTAGCCTTTCGCGTACAAAGTCGACCACTTCTTGATTGCTGAGTACGTCCCAGATACCATCACATGCAAGTAACTACGAACTCGTGATCTTCTGTCACGTTCTCCGTGATCACATCCGGATAAGCTGGAATATATCAACGAGAGAATTTAAACATGAGCATATGACTGTGTCCAAGCTCAAGAAAAGCACCAGAAAATGAGCAAGTGCGTTTAATTGAAGCAGTGAACGCCTTTGTAATCTTCGCTAATAAATTTGGCACTGGACTAGGAGATCATAAAAGATAAGGCGGTAGGATTATGAAATTGACAAAAGCCACTGTGAAAATGTCAAGCTGTTCATAATCCATCTGGCCATCGAGAAATAATTTCAATGCGTTTTCTGATCTATTGTAAGATGTAAACCGTTATTTTAGACTAATATTGGCGCGCACACGGTCACCCTTGGATGAGAATCGAACACAGATACGGCTGAGAGAACGTAAAAATTTTGTCGAGCACAATATAGGTTCTACTAGTAATACAACGAACATGTGGAATGTGAAAGGGGAGTCCGTTTCAACGAATCTGAGTGGGTGAGGGGTTTAGTAAGCAGCGAACATACAAAGTTCACAAACGGGCTGACTTCACTGCCCGGTCGCTTTCAATACTAATTTGAAATATTGTTATTGTTTAAAGACAACTGCAATAAAAATGGAATCGCCTGTTGCCGCGTGTAAGAAATAGAATGAAAATGTAAATTGATCATATTAATAGGCGGCTTTAAAGAATCTTTGTAGCAACGGAACTCATCGGAAGTTGTAAAATGGGAGACTCGCAGCCTTCTGACATTGTTTCATCTACATGAGTGACAGCCGCGCAAGTACAAAAAGCAAAACAGGATTGGAAAGGAAAGAGTAAAGGAAGCAATGAACAGGCTGTACTATAGCCACAAACGTTAGTCCATTTAACCAAAACTAGAAATGTTGGAACCGGCGAGAGAGCTCCGAAGTTTCGTGACAGTAGTGGGTGTTATGTAACAGCTGTGACGTTTGACCGTACCCAATTACAAAACACAACACACTTTCGTAATTAACCATTTATTTGCATCTATATACAAAATGATGATTGGCAATGAGCCAATCAATATACACAAAGGTGCTAGAATCTACTACTGTAGATTCTAGGCTTTAACCAAGCTAGGGAACGGGGACTGTCCGCAATTCACCTGCCATCTTGTACGATTGAACCATCTTCTCGCTGAGGATGTTCAAACGTACACTTCCTTCTGAACACAGAAGGGCGACCATCGCGTGAGCCACGCTTAGGCCAACGTGCATCTGTAGTCGTCTTGTACGAACTACTGCACAACTGCTTTCCACACGGGGAAAGATCCACTCTTCAACTGGTGTGAAGAGAACGAAGCTCGCATCGGGCGACGCTTCGGAGTCAGGGGGAGCCCTCTAGCACGTAGAGTTAATCGCCTAATCGTACGCAACGATCTCGGGAAACTCCCCTCTCGTTTTCCGAGAGAGACCGATCTGCTCACATGTCGTGAGCTCGGCAAAACTCCAGACTGACTGATAGCTTGATCAGAAACTGAATCGAAGTAGATGGGGCGTGCTCGTGTACAGCTATTGAGAGAACCTCAAGTACCTAAGGTTACACCTAGGGGTACAAGTCTGCACCTGCATACACTTTTACAACCTGCACGCGGCCCCATCTCAATCCGAGATAATTACTCACAAGTTATCTAAGCTTGGATGATCCAGTAAAACTGACTAACATATACTACAAAAACAGCTTTTAGTTTGTACAAGCAAGCTGCTTTAGCAAGAACTTTCAGCTGACTCCCGGTGTGGTCAGCTGTCGCAGCGTACCCATAAGGGAACGGATTTGAGCGAGGGTTCAATTCGTACATTCAATCCATCGAGTATGTGTCTCCAGAACATTTTGAAGGGTTTGAACGGAAGCGATGCATCGGCACTGTAAAGAATAAGCGTTTTTCGCTTGGTCTCGAAGCGTCCTCGATAGATATGTCTTCATCAACGGTTTTCTTAGATTTCGAAACTGTACTTGAAAGAAAGTGTTATTCAATATCTTGCGCCCAGAGGAAGAAAATTCCAGGTAAATTGCAACTTCGCTCGACGTCTCTAACTTCAGCTGGACAACGTTTCGAAGAAAAGAGAAGCTCAGCACAAGTAAGAAACTAGAGGTCACGCATATTCAGAATCTGCCTTCCTTCTCTGAAATGGTTGTAGGAAGTCATAATCCGTCAAATAGGGAGTCGATTTGACGATTTTCCCAACTGGCGCTCCAATCGACAGGCACGCGTTAGCTCGCCTTAATAACGAAGACGCAGACGCTAGCATGCCTGTACTTCATACATCCTTTCCCTTTTCACTTCTAAACGTGCTTAGGAGAGAATTCCTGAGAATAAGAATAAAGCATGCTGATGCATAAAATGTTTGGTTTGAACCCGCTGAGCATTGCATCAGATGCGAGGGCGAGAAGAGTTCGTATGGAAACTCACGGTAAGGTGAATGTGTAGAAGATGCGCCCATTTTCCTTGACACGTGTTTTCACCTGGTTGTTTACGATTAAGACCTCGGTCAGACTCGGCGATTGCGTCGCTGGACACCAGCGACGGAGCCGCCGGCGACGGAGCCGCCCGGCACAAGAGTGGGCAGCAACGGGCGATGACTCATCAGCACACGATCGATATCGGTTGGCAGGGGAGATTAGATCATATCATCCTCACCCATCGTTCATGTTGCTCCCCCTGCCAACCGATATCGATCGTGTGCTGATGAGTCATCGCCCGTTGCTGCCACTCTTGTGCCGGGCGGCTCCGTCGCTGGTGTACCGCGACGCAATCGCCGAGTCTGACCGAGGTCTAATAGCGACGTCGCCTAGGTAAAAGCGTCGCTCTGGACGTTGTGCCACGGGCCCACTACACGAAAAGGACATAACAGACCCGCGCGTCCGGAGCGTCTCCGTTGGAAATCGCGCTGCCCAAAAAAAGGGTTAGTAGAGAGACATTAAACTAATCAATCTCAAATACTGAACGTCTTTTTGGAAGATCGCACCGGGTATCTCTTTCAGCAATGTATTCTATGACCCGATATACATATCTATACCATATTACAAGGAGACGTTGCGCTATGGCTAATCGCACGTACGCTCTGCTTCATGAAACGTTAGGTTCCCTATGTACAGGCCAACACTAGGAAAATGTTTCACCACCTTACAACATATCTGTTTTCCCATGTCTTCTATCAGCACTCTAAACTCAGAGTCATTCAGTCTGCCATCACCCCCTGCGTGCTACGTGCTGAACCACAGAACAATGAACATCGACGAAAGCACATCGGGTCATAGCGAACTGATAATCGCATGCGCATGCGTAAACCAAACATCAATCGATGGTCAACAAAACAAAAAAAACAGCAATCGCTAAAATCAAAGGCCATATCTCATGGCAGGAAGTGAAACTCAAGTTTGATTACGCAAACGACTGAAGCAACGGGAAGCGCTAGTGGGAATTTACAGCACCCTAGTATAAAACGAAAACTTGGACCGTTACTAAAGAAAGGGTTTCGGAAAACGCCCAGACATCAAAAAAGCCGAATGCGGCAGTAATGAATAAAGTTTAGGTGAACAACATAATCATACATTTTTATTCAGCCATGATTAACAGGCCCAATTAGTAGGGGCGAAATAATAATCCAGCCAACGATGACACTTCCCCCCCCCACCAACATATATATAAAGTATGCTACTCGCTACAATCACTCCTGTCACATACTGCATTGTCAGGGAACGGAATACCCTCCTCAATTTCCCTTTTGTAGATACGAAAACTCACCGAAGACCACGAGCAGAGTGCAAATTGCCTTGACTCGACTTAAACTCAACCCATCTCTCAGACAGCAATATACTACCTTAAGCCTTAGAAACAAACAATGGTATAACTTCGTATAGGCTTTATAAATCTTCAAACATATCACCAATACCCTAAAATCCCATAGATAAGAGCGGTCCATAGATATTTTTTCAAAAATAAAATAAAAATAAAAATATTTTTTCAAAATCATTTTTTACCGGTAAATTAAACCGCTCTTATCTATGGAATTTTACTGATCGAATGGGCTCTTCAAGTTCTATCCAGAGATCAAATTCCGGCATTTCTAGAGAGATTCCGGCAGAAATTCCGTTAAAATCGCTATTTTTCTATATGAATTGTTTATTAAGTGGGCGGGGTTTAGAGTTGAGGGACGGAGCTTCTTCTAAACTTCTTCTCCGATTTTTATTTATCCATCCATCAAGTTAGAGGGGTGACTGCATTCAATTTCAATTTCATTCCAATTCATTTTTCACCGGTAAATTAAACCGCTCTTATCTATGGGATTTTAGGGTAATACGAGAGTAACTCAGTGCTTCATTTATATGACGTGATAATTACATTGTAACTTGATGCCTTTGGTGATGTTAACAAGAAGACATTTTCTGCGTGTTAAATGGACCTAGAAATTTTTCATCGAAATTTAAATCGGATTGGCTGGAACTTTCATTTCATCATTCCCTCCCCACTTAATTTACTTTTGAAAACTTTATGAGTTGTTGTGCTCACAAACTAACTGAATTAAACTGGAAACTATCTCGGTTTTCAGCCATACAAACTCAAAAATTGCTTTCAATCTTCGAAATGGGCATGACAAATTGATTTGTGGAAATTAGAATTAGACTCCGAAAACTGCGCTCTTTACCTTAAGAGGGACCTGTCACAAACATATAATCATGATAACCTGTCGTAAGAAATAAATCGCCAGCCATTTAGTTGGACAAGAAAAGAAACCGATGCTCAAAAGTTAGCTCACAGCAGAATCTCTATCTTACTGAGTTCAAAATATTAACAATAATAATAATAATATAAGGTGAGAGCTCAGTGAATCTCACCTCTTTTTCATTAGCAGGCTTGTGATCGAATGACAGTGGACGTGCTTCACCACATACAGATACTACTGCTCTAGAATCGCCTACGTTTGCTGCAATGAAAGCATGAGCCATTAAATGGTGATAGTATAATTGTTGAACAGGAGCAGCACTTACCACAGTGAATAACATCATCTTTAATCAAAACTACAACTGCAGTGGCGCCAGAGACGTCGTCTCGCATTTCGTCATCAGAACGCATTTGCTCATCGAGAGCCAGAAAACCTTTTCGTAACGCTTCTGGGAGATTTCCTTGAGCTGCAAATAATGGTATGAAACTAAAGGATTCCAGGGACGAGCTACAAGGTGAGTTAGCTCAATGATGGAATTTACATACCGTAATCCTCTTGTTGCAGTATTTGCTTGTGAAGATTGATTCCAGCGAATTGCGATGCTTTGGGACCACCGTGACCGTCATACACAGCGAAAAAAGCACATCGTGGATCATCCGGCAATGACAGCAAGTGTGTATGCGCATCTTCCATATCTACAAACATTCACCAACTGAGTATCACTGTTTTTAAATTTTAAAACTAGAAATTTCCTGTAATTTTTAGCCACCTGCGCTGCTTGAATATGTCACAGATTCTCCGGTTATTTTTTTCTTGAACATGGCAACAAATCATTAATGCCAAACGAAAGTTTAGCAGAAAGATGAGTCATGCATATACAGATTTTCGAATGGGACAGTTCATTCTCTGTCTCACACGAAACTGAACCACAGCCGAACTCGGTCCCTTTAAACAATTTCAACTGTCCAACACCACTGTTGGCAATAGACTGACGAGCGCGAGTAGTTACTTAAGCTCTTCAATACCAAACACCACCTCGTTTTTTATAGTGACAAAGAGCTTTGAATCACAAGCCCTTATGTTGTGCGGTATGCTGTTTCTGGTACGCCTTCTATAACATCCAACCCCTACCTCGACGTTCCGCACCTTCTTTGATGCTGCTACAAACCAACTACAAGCACCACCACTCTAAATGGTGTGCAAAGATTGATTAAGCTGAATGCGTAGGCACTTTATAAGCAGTGTCATTCCAAAACGGTAAACCTCTGGAGAAAAAGACGATTTTAGGGGATTCCAGCACACGTGATGAAGCAATGATCTGTTGATCTTCAATGGTTTTTACCACTTCTCATTACACCAATCAATTTAAAGAAATTTATAGGTGCTCCAAGGCTGAAGACTCGCGTTTTAGGAGAACAGCCCTATAAAAGTATGGAGAAAAAACTGGATAACGAAAACATTTTTTTTGGAAAAGTGGTCTTTCAAAAGAATTTTAACACTTTTTAGCGCGTAGTTTCTTTAGCCTTGAAAATCTGCAAAAAGTTGACTACTAAAAAGTGATGGAAGTTTTAATATTGAAATTTCTTGAGCAATTGAACATTCGCAACAGTTCAAACACTTTTTAGAAAGAAATCAATTTGAACTGTTTTTCGGTGTTGTTATATCTAATCCTTTTGCTCCTCGTCTCCTTCACAAGGCCAGACACCAGACACTAAGGCCCAAACTTTTGCCACAGGTTAAGTGGCTCACACACCCCCCCCCCCCCCCTGAATTGGCCCCATTCCCCCTGGCTCACGCATTCTTACTTACTACCAGGTTCCCTGCCACACCAAAAGGATTAGATGTCATACAACCCATTTTTGTATCCCGTCCTGTATCGTGAGAGCGTTACTGGAAAAAAGATGGAGCTAGATAAAATAAATATTGATGGCTGATATCTTCTGTAAGCTCTCCACGAGGTTGTTAAGCAGACTTTATTGGCTTACGTTTCGGCGGGGTCGCCTTCTTCAGAGCCTGAAAGGATCGAAGCAATTTATGACTACCCGACCAAACGCCTCCGCTATCCTACTGAAATTCGAGAACAAAAACGGTCATCACGCAATACCAAGGTGGGCCACTTACCGTAACTTAGTCCGGTACTCCCCGTAATCCGTAAAATCGTCCGTAAAATAAATATGTAACTACTGCAAGGTTTAGTTTATCATTTCATAAGAAAAAGAAATTTTCAAAATTCAAAAAAAAACTCAGAAGACTCCTGAAAGTAAGATCTTCGAAAGACAAACATAATTAGGTTTATCCAAAACGTTGGAAGTTTCTTTTATAAATAAGTGTAATTATATGTTGCCTCTATTCCCGTCCTCTGACCCAGCCAAAGCGCTGCAGCTGCAAGTCTAAGCACGCGATGTAACTATCCCACTGCCCACCGTCCCTTTACGGGGTCGTACGGATACCCCCTGCAGGGAGGGTACCAAAAATTTGAAGTCGGCACAACGGACGATTGACTTTACCTGGAGGAAAAGCGTGTACGCTTCATGTTTACCGGACGAATGAGACCGCAGAAAAGCAACTATTCAAATCAGAAAGAAAGCTAGAAGTACTAGCAAGCATTGCAAAGTAAAATCGGCTCCCCCACTTTCTTCACGATTTGGGGCGCGGCCGCGGCAAACCCGGCCGAGTATGCGCCATCAGCTTACCTGAGTATTCGACGTTACATTACGGCATCAGCTTGCCTGAGTATTCGACGTTACATTGCGATACGTAATGTAACGTCGAATACTCAGGTAAGCTGATGGCGCATACTCGGCCGGGGGCCGTAAGGTATGCTTCCCCGAAGGGTTAGGGGACGAAAGTTCCTTTAAATTTTCTCTGTAGTCCCAACTGGGATTGTCCTGATAAAGGGCCTACATATATGTGTGTAGCTTAAAGTAACATGCATTGAAAATAAAGAAACAGTATCGTTCAAAACAAAAAATTTAAAGGGACTTTCGTCCCCGCAACCATTCGGGGAAGCATACCTTACGGCCCCGGGTTTCCCGCGGCCGCGCACCAGATTGTGAAGAAAGTGGGGGAGCCGTAAAATGCTGCTAATTAAGAAAGCCTTTCACTTGGAAGCCTTCCATGCTTAGCAGCTTACAACTTCCGGGTATGGTTCACTATGACAGGAAGCGAATTTACCGCTTTTCGCAGCGCGAAACTTTTTTCGCTCCGGTAACCTCGGCTCCACCGCTGATTACTGTTGGAGCTGAGTTCTTGCCGCGATCGCGTGCGAATAGCAGAAAATTGCTTTCTGTCCTAGTGAACCACACCCACAACTTCCTGTGGATCTTTGACTGAGACCTGGTTAAATCGATACAATCAGG